CTTCTCTCTTTCTCCCTCTCTCTCTCTCTCTCTCTCTCCCAGTCATTAGAGACTCATCTCCCCCATGCTCCTCCCTCCTATGCTGGCAATAACAATTAGTGTGTTTGCCTTCACTCGACTGAGAATCTTAGAGCTTCAATATTTCTTCCCCCTCTTTATTACTCCAACTGCTCAAGCCTTACATTCGAAGTCCTTAACCTTGACCATCATAAATCTCCATCGTCTCTTTCAACCAAAAATAAAAACTTTACATCCCCTTATTTGAAAGCTTATTTTTTTTTTTTTTAAACAGGAATCCTTTTTCATGCCCCAACTCCCTCCACCAGTTGATGAAGGACGTAACAGAGGCCGGTGTAATTCAACTGATTGAATCTATCTCTAAAACCCATTTAGTATCTTACACACCAGAAAAGGTGTGAGGTAAACTCAATCACCAAATTCAACATAAACAACACATATGTATGCTGACCTTATATTTGGTAAAGTCTCTTCTTCTTAAAGCCTAGGTTCTAGACTTAGGATTTCTTGTTGGAGTCTCTTAGAGAACCATTCTGGGACCCGCACCACCTAAAAATTCGAGCCACTTCTAGATTCCTTGCAATTTCATATGGTTTGGTCTTGCAGTCCCGACCTAGTTGAAAGTACTTCAACCCACGATCTTTGTCGAAGTTTCATATTCATTATTGCCTCTAGTTCCAATTTCACTTCTCTCTCTCTCTCTCTTTCTCTGTCTCTCCTCTCTCTCTCTCCCGTAGTCATTAGAGACTCATCTCCCCCTTGCTCCTCCCGCCTATGCTGGGAATAACAATTAGTGTGTTTGCCTTCACTCGACTGAGAATCTTAGAATTGCAATATTTCGTCTCCCTCTTTATTACTCCAACTGCTCAAGCCTTACATCTGAAGTCCTTAACCTTGACCATCATAAATCTCCCTCGTCTCTTTCAACCAAAAATCAAAACTTTACATCCCCTTATTTGAAAGCTTCTTTTTTTTTTTGAACAGGAATCCTTTGTCATGCCCCAACTCCATCCACCAGTTGATGAAGGATGTAACAGAGGCCAGTGTAATTCAACTGATTGAATCTCTCTAACATCCATTCAGTATCCCACACACCAGAAAAGGTGTGAGGTAACTCAATCACGTAATTCAACATAAACAGCACATATGTATGTTGATCTCATTTTTGGTGAGGTCTCTTCTTCTTAAAGCTCGGGTTCTAGACTTAGGACTTCTTGTTGGACTCTCTTAGAGAATTAGTCTGGGACCCGCACCACCTAAAAATTCGAGCCACTTCTTTACTCCTCGCAGTTTAATATGATCAGTTCTAAATCCTCAACGCTTAGTTGAGTAGATTAAAACCAGTGTGACGAAGCTCGAGTCGAGTACCCGTAGGATTTGAAACCGTGGGAAAACCCATTGCGACCTCCGCGCACACTCACGATACACAAATACCACAATTCACGCGTCAATGCACACAATTATCGAAATTCACGTCACTTGCACCAATAAAAGGCTCTGCGATTGATCAAACTCGAATCAATTGCTGGAATGAACGATCACGAACGAGAATTTTGTGAAAATTTGAATTTGACACGGTTTCAGCCCGATCGTATACAAAGTCGGTCAGACGACTCCGAATGACGAAACGGACCGCAGCGGTGCGTCCGGGACGTCGAATTTAGCTAGGGAGGACACCCATTTTGATGTGACCTCATGCACGAGTGGAAGTGCGCGAATTGAGAAAATTAGCATATCCTATATTATATAACTAATATAAATATTAATATAAAAGATATAAGATAGGTTGGCTGGGGGATTTTATTTTTCCCTAAATCCCTGGCTTGCGACAACTCTTCGGCCCATCTCCCCTTCTCAATTACAAGCCGAGCCCCATCACGAACCCTAATCGCGCCTCTCCAGCGGGTGAAGCCCTAACCGCACCCTTCTCTCGAATTCTATCCTTCACGTGATGAGGAGTTGACTAACTCTCTCTCCCGACACCCTCTGCTCGAGAACCTCCTTCCCGAAGCCACGCCTGCCTCCACGAGCTGTGAGCTTCCAACTATGGTAAGCTGACCCTGGCGCATTTGTTCACTGGGTCACGAATGCAGCATTCCTTCTCCTTCCCGATAGCTTCTACCTCTGTGGCTCTTGCTGCAATGGTTTCCTTTTGTCGGGTCGAGCTCTAGGTTGCTCTCACCCTCCGGTAAGCTGTGTCTTTTCCTCTCCTCTCCTCCTTTGCTCTAAAAAACCCTTCTTGGGTAAGGGTTGTGAGGTTACAAAATCTGGGAGCTTGGGGAAACTCTGTCGCAACCCCCTCCAGCTCCCTGCTTCTTGCCGTCACACCCTAACCTACCGACGGCTTGCTGCGACATCCCCAACTGGCCAACTTGCTCGTTGTCATCCCTACCTGTCCTCCCACATCTGTTCTCCAGCTACAATTCTAAATTACATTTTATTTGGAATTTGAGTTTTAAAATATAGACTCTTAGGGTTTCAAAAACTTTTGAAATTTTCGGCTTTCAAATTTAGGCGCTTAGGGTATAAAAAATAATTCAAACATGAGATTTTTAAATTTTAAAAAATTCATCACCGAATTCACAATACACTTGCTATTGAACAGAAAGCATTCCCTCTTAAAGCCCAAATATGTAATATTACATGCACTCCGACAAGATAATATCTAAATAAAGGTTCATAGTTTCAAATGGCTTTAAATTCTTCAAAGCCCATACAAACTTTATGTTTAGTCCTCAAGTCAAATGAATGTTATGGCATCTTGATAAGCAATTTTAAAGCTCATGCGAATAATAAGTTGGACATTCTTTAGTTATACATGCTTCAAAATACTTATAAAAGTGAGTCAACTTCATAACTTCAAAATCTTGCATGTGTCTCTTGATATAAATTTCATAACAAATTCATAGTTTAATGATTATACAAGTCTTCAAAATCTATAAATTATTTAAGCTATTCAAACATATAAAATTATAAACAAGCATAGGCTCCAGCTAAAATTTTAAATGCTTTAATGAATAGCTTAGTACATGTGCAACCCTTTCATCATTAGCATTTGAAATACAAAAATAGAGGTGAAGATATTCTCTAATGCGAGGCAATATACAGATTTTATATTTGAAGCACAAACATAGAGGAAATATATATATTCAATATTATAAGAAACTGATCTGCAAAAACATAGAATTGTTATCTGTAACTATTTGATGCACATTATTTTCTTCAATATTTTTTATGTGTATCCAAGAGTTTAAAGAGCTTCAATACAGCTTTGAATATCTAGATGCACATATTCACTTGAAGAATCCAGTATCTGATGACGAATTAACGAAAAAATTAATAATAAATCACTCTCTACAAATAATTCACTCATAAGGCATAAGATTGTTCGATTTTTTTCGGGTCGAGCTCTAGGTTGCTCTCACCCTCCGGTAAGCTGTGTCTTTTCCTCTCCTCTCCTCCTTTGCTCTAAAAAACCCTTCTTGGGTAAGGGTTGTGAGGTTACAAAATCTGGGAGCTTGGGGAAACTCTGTCGCAACCCCCTCCAGCTCCCTGCTTCTTGCCGTCACACCCTAACCTACCGACGGCTTGCTGCGACATCCCCAACTGGCCAACTTGCTCGTTGTCATCCCTACCTGTCCTCCCACATCTGTTCTCCAGCTACAATTCTAAATTACATTTTATTTGGAATTTGAGTTTTAAAATATAGACTCTTAGGGTTTCAAAAACTTTTGAAATTTTCGGCTTTCAAATTTAGGCGCTTAGGGTATAAAAAATAATTCAAACATGAGATTTTTAAATTTTAAAAAATTCATCACCGAATTCACAATACACTTGCTATTGAACAGAAAGCATTCCCTCTTAAAGCCCAAATATGTAATATTACATGCACTCCGACAAGATAATATCTAAATAAAGGTTCATAGTTTCAAATGGCTTTAAATTCTTCAAAGCCCATACAAACTTTATGTTTAGTCCTCAAGTCAAATGAATGTTATGGCATCTTGATAAGCAATTTTAAAGCTCATGCGAATAATAAGTTGGACATTCTTTAGTTATACATGCTTCAAAATACTTATAAAAGTGAGTCAACTTCATAACTTCAAAATCTTGCATGTGTCTCTTGATATAAATTTCATAACAAATTCATAGTTTAATGATTATACAAGTCTTCAAAATCTATAAATTATTTAAGCTATTCAAACATATAAAATTATAAACAAGCATAGGCTCCAGCTAAAATTTTAAATGCTTTAATGAATAGCTTAGTACATGTGCAACCCTTTCATCATTAGCATTTGAAATACAAAAATAGAGGTGAAGATATTCTCTAATGCGAGGCAATATACAGATTTTATATTTGAAGCACAAACATAGAGGAAATATATATATTCAATATTATAAGAAACTGATCTGCAAAAACATAGAATTGTTATCTGTAACTATTTGATGCACATTATTTTCTTCAATATTTTTTATGTGTATCCAAGAGTTTAAAGAGCTTCAATACAGCTTTGAATATCTAGATGCACATATTCACTTGAAGAATCCAGTATCTGATGACGAATTAACGAAAAAATTAATAATAAATCACTCTCTACAAATAATTCACTCATAAGGCATAAGATTGTTCGATTTTTTCTAGCCACATTTTTTTGTATGAACCTCCACATCCTTAATTGTTGCATGCTCTTCTATTTCAAGGAAATTTTTAACTCACGATAAGACAATTGTCTTTTCCATATGATTAAAACTCTCCAACTTCATGTATTGAAAGGGATGCGTGATTGATAAAAACCACCAAACTATTTATTGTATAATTCTATCTATAATTACCTTTCTTTTATTTCCATTTGTCTATTTATCATTCCTTCTTGCAACATGTTTTTAAAATTCTTTAAACAAAAATCATCCATAGGAGTTTTTATTTTAAATGATTTAACACTTCTTGATCCAAAAATTGATTCAAATTCTCACTTATCATAATGCATGGACAATTCAATATATGATTCATTAGTAATATCAACCACCTTATCATCATATTCCATACATAAGCTTTGTATTTAGCATTTTCACTTCTTAATAAGAAAGTAACTCCTCACATATTTATTAAAATATATTTTTCTTTTATGTGACACTAATTTTTTTAAAATATTATTGTAGAAATATTCAAAGCTATTTAAAAATATCAAAGATTGATTTATTTTAAATTTTGAGTGAGTTTCGCAATTTAATATAAATCCAAAAACATAAACACTATATTATCACGAAATCTTAAAAATTTTTAAAGCTCACAGAAGGTCATTGCCAGTGTTGAAACTAGTGGAAGTAGATCTTGTAGCGGCTACCAGGTCGATGGAGGCGGAGCTCTGTGTTGAAACTTGTGGGCTCGAATGAGAGAAAGAAGCTCATGGGATAATTTCGTCTGTTATAGCTAGCACAGTGATCCCCTAACTGGTCTTATAAATTAGGGTTAATTTAAAAAATCTACAACCCTAAACAAGTTCAGCTAACGTGAGAGCTTATCACCGCTACAGTACCGCAGAAGTGTTACTATTGTTGCTACAGTAACCACAATCCCACTTTCCTATTTAATTCCTTTCCTTGTGCTTTCCCGTTATAATTCATTTCATTTGCTGCTTCTTTCATATTCCTCTCCTTGTCTAATATATCTCTTTCCTCCGGTATCATCTGCTCCCTCCGTTTTATTCTAAGTGCGCCATTGCCATGAGACTGTGACGTAAAGCAGCCCTTAGTTATTTCATGCCGCATCATGGAAGAAACATGCTCTAAAGCATGCTTTTGATTACTTCTCAGTTTTGTTGGTCTAATATTTTGGTCTATATGGTCAGAGCTTCCTTGATACAAATACAAATTGTAATGCCACTAATTTTGCTATTTGAAATGGTTTGACTGCCCAGCTCTTGATTACAGCTTGAAATTGAATCAAGGTACTGATCACCTAATGGCTGACATGTTTTTTATCAAGGTATTTAGTTTGCATCTCAAGCTGAATTTAGGCAGGTTTCTTGTAAAGGTATTTTACATTTTCTACTTTCTGTATGACAAAAGCACTTTGATGAAATTAGCATGCCTTAAATACAAACTTCTTGCCAAACGTGATGAACTAATTTTATTAGATATAAAAGCACTAAAGAAATGCAATAACTCCAGATATTTACACCTAAAAACTGTCAAATTAACTTCTGAGGGGATTACCAGAGAAGAATCCTTGCAGCCTCCTGGCATTCAGCAACACGACAATTATATCCAGGATTATCCTTTAAACAATGCTTCAACCCGGAAAATGCCAATAAGATCTTATATTTGTTTGCTCCTTCAGGACCTTTGGAACCGTCTAACATGGATGAACTAACAAAAGTATGCTCTTTTGTCTGCAGAAGTACAGGATCAGCAATTATAAGAATTAATCAACACTGGCATCCTATTTTTGAAACAAAAAGGGAGAAATGATAAACCTTCATGATATTAAATCAAAATGCATGCAACTCTTATCATGAAGTCAAGCATCCCGGTTAAATTTGATGATTAATGAATTTCATCAAAAGAAGAAGGCACATTCGACATTAAGGTGAAAACATATAATCACTGGACAGAAAAATCTAGCCTTCTCGTTCCTTCAAAATATGAGTGTCTAGGAAAATCTCCAGGAAATAAATGAATCTGGTCTTCTCGTTCCATACTATGTAGTAGAGGATATGTTTCATGCATATAACTCCCCAACATCTTAGTAATTGAATTGCACACAAAAATCGATACAGGTGTCACATTAGTAGCAACACTGCACAAAAAACCTTGACCCTTCTTTCGAAACTCGCAAATTACTTATGGAGTTTTGGAAATTCCCAAATTACTTAAGTTGATTGCCATAACTAATCATCATTAAAAAAACACACTCATTAAAAACAATTCCCCAAATCCTAACAAACTCGCAAGAAACTACCCCCAAATTGTAATAACCATGTCTGTTAAAACAGCTGCAGGTAAAGAAGGAAAGCAGCAGCTCGCAATAGAATTATTTGAAGCCTGAAACCTAATAAATCAAAGCAGCCAACTAGATATCTACCACTCAAGAAAGCCAAATATGGAATCCTAGGAGGGATAACTTTTTACCGCTGTAGTGCATTAATGCCAAATGTAATTAGAGGGAGTGCAGGTTGCATTGTGAACTACAGCTGAAGTCCAAACCTCCTTTTGTTAAGCTGGGTGCTGAGAGGTGAGCACGTGCCATATAGTTTCTTGAAACCAGATATCTAATAAACCAAAGCAGCTAATTCAATATCTCCTACTCAGAAAAGCCAAATAAATAATCCTAGAAGGGTCACCGCTGTAGTGCATTAATGCCACATCCAATTGGAGGGTGTGTAGGATGGCCATGCCACTAATTGGATGCATACCATTGTTAGGCGGCATCCACATTTCCCATACAGTACTGAAAAAAACTTCACTTTCTAGAGTTCAGTGAAACGTTGAAATTTCTTTATGTACCAACAGAAGTCCAGGATCCATAGTTATATATGTAAATGGGCCCACAATATTATGATTTTCGCTATACACACTAGTTCTGCTTCTAAAGAACCCATAAATCCAATTTTATAGGATATAATGTAAAATTGGCACAGTATAAACTGTCCATGGATTATCAGTGAGTGTATGCCTGGTTAATCCCATCTTTATGCTTGTAATGAGCATATAGTTGTAATTATGTTGGTTAGATTGCTATTAAGTACTAATAACATATGTGGAAAATAAAAAAGATTAAAAGATCTTTTGGAAATGAAGACAGAGTAAGCATGCCAAAAGTATTGGAAAAAAAATATCAAGCAAAGGCTAACCAACCAATTTCAGTATGAAGTTATTCCATGAGTCTCAAACAACAGGTTATTGCTTTTAGGTTAGTTGGGCAACAATGTTTAAAATAGTGTCAAAACCTATGACCACAAGTCGGTGGTACTTGGATTATAAAATCAATTAACATGCCTCAAGTTGTATGTTTAGGTTTTATTTTGGTTGATTGGCAAAAGAACACTTTATGTAGCTTACACTAATTAAAATGGGAAAAAATATACAATCGGATAATAAAATAAACCAAATGGATAAGAATATAAATTGATACAAAATGGTGATTTTCATTGAAGAACAATGGACAAAAAATATTATATAACCTCAAAACTTTGCAAAAATTTAATGTCAAACCTTGCAATCCATGAGAGTAAGGTAGCCATATTTGGAAAGTAATATTGCAGACTGATCAAGGATGCCATTTCGTAGTCCTAAATACGAATTTTCAATCAATCTGCAAGAAGATCTATTCAATATAAGGGCATGCTAGACCATCTCATAGCTTATCTAATTCATTAATTTGACAAAATTTTACGTAATAAAAGGGTAATCAAGCTGTGACAGCTATAAAGTATTTATTAGTGTTCAAGGGTAAGGAACCCTACCCACATTAGTAAAACCATAAAGGAGGTACGCATTCTATATAGGCTTTCACATAAGCAGCACAACTTGTTATAATTTGAAGGCTAATATATAAAAAAAAAAACCAAGTTGAAGTTTTAAGTAGAGCGTATACACATGCTATTTCTACTATGATAAGATGACAACTTAAAAAGGAGGCAAGTTGTTAATATTTCGATATTGATTTATTAAAGGAGACTATTTTAAACTTTAAAATTATACTGAGCCATATTTAATATATAACACCTAGCACAATTAGGAATATGGTTATAAGGAGTAAAACATTTGTATATTTTGAAAGAATTTGAGTTAGTTGGACAAGTTGATAGTGACGAGTTATAAACTCCTTGGCTCATTAAAGAAATTCCAACTTCCTTAGCCAAATTGAAGGTATTTCATTGAAAGTATTTCTTTGGCAAATACTTGATAATTGTTTAGATTCGAGTCTTACACTATCAATTCCCCATTAATTTTTTTAATGAAGTTGTCGTCTTTAACTTGTCGTGCCTTAAGCCAGACTTTGTGTGGATCATATCGTAGTTTTCATGGACATAACCATTTAAACTCGCTATAGGAGTAGCTTGCACTCTACTCATTGTGGATCTGGTCGTAAAGGAAGAAATCTAAAATTTCTTATGGATTATCAGTGAGTGTATGCCCGGTCGATCGGCCCAACAGAACATCCTCCGTCGATCGACCGCCCTAGGTCGATCGACTATTTTTCGTCAATCGATCATTCACACCTGCTCGATCGACCACTTTCATCAGCTCGATCGAATAGGCTACTACCGGTCTAATCAGCCCGATCGACCATCGTCTGTGGATCGACCGCCTCGGTCTGATAGATTATTCTTCGACGATCGACCACTTCTGTAGGCATGACCGATCGATCTCCACTGCCCAGATCAGCATGACTAACCATCCGTCGTTGACCAACCGCCCCGGCTCGATCAACTGTTTTTTGTCGATCGACTGCCCCCGCCATTTCGGTCGACCACTTTCGTCGGCTCGACCGATCAGCTGCACCACTTTCGTCGTCAATCACTGCCTCGACTTGATCGTTCATTTTTCATCGATAGACGGTCCATGCTGGTTCGATCGACCATTTTCGTCAGCTCGACCGATCGGCCCGACCAACCTCCTCCGTTGATCTGTCGTTTTGGCCCGACAAACGCCCTCCGTCGATCGGTCGTCCATGTTGGTCTGATCGACCATATTTGTCCTCTCGATCGATCAGCCATCCTCGGCTCGATCGTGTCGATCGACTTCAATTGAGTGTTGCATTCTTGCATGTCTGTTTCACACTGCTTGCACGAACACTCGCACCATGCCACCCAGTTGTGCACCCGTAAGCATATGCCCTCATATGCTCGCGGTAGGCACCTATGCCCCTCTTTGGCATGACATTTTGTGTCGTTTTGTGAATTCTCTATCACGGTGCGCCAACATCCTACATGTTTGCATTTACACTTGCGAACCCTTGTGTGTTTGCTTGCAAGCCATCTTGCATGCTCATGACTTGTATGCTTGAAGTTGTAAGCATTTGGATTTGTGTTCTCACATACTTATCTCACGCATTCACACATCATGTGAGTGAATGGCTTGCCACCAAGCCCATTCGGTGTGTAGTTCTCTCTAAGGAGAATTGTATTGCACTTTCGCCTCCTACAACACCAGTCTAAACTATCGCGGGGATCCTCCTGAGTCACTGCCTCCTCGACACACTAACTCCTGACTCATTGTCTCCTCAGCAAACTCAGTCCTGAGTCACTGCCACCTCCGCACATTCATTCTCGAGTCATTGCCTCGTCGGCACATTCACCATTCTCAGTCACTGCTTCTCGCACAATCTTTCGCCTCTTATGACATGACATCTTTTTGGTTACACGGCTCTCACCGAGCTCGGGTCAGGCTTCTCAACCTTCGAACCCGTCTGGCACATGAGCAGTGTTGCCTACCTTCCTCGTGACAATCCCCCACATTGTCACGAACATGTTACTTGCAAGGGGCATGTGTTTGTTTGTCTACTTGCGGAGCGCATCATAGGTATATATGTCTGTCATTTGCATATGTTTGGTCGCTATTAGGGCAAGGTGTAATTCTCCAATGGCATCCTATACCCTGGGCGGCCAAGCACAATCTTATTTGTGTGTCGTGTCTTGCATTTACATCTTTGCACTATTGGCATATTCATCGCTAGTATACGCTGCCTTATACTTGGGATGAATGCTTGCTATCTCGTGATCCTTAGCCTCTATGAGGCGGACACTGCGTAATGGATCATCTTGCATTCCTATATTCATTCTTGATTGTCTCAATGACGAAACTGGCTCGCTAGTTGAGTGACTCTCTGTTAGTCACAATGCAGCAGCTATTATTGCTTGCGAAGATATCTCAGTGGGCAATACTAGTTATTATATCGTGGCTAGCACGCGTATGTATGCTAAGGTTCCAAAGGGCCTAATAAGTGTCCTTTAGGCTTTCATTTTCCTAGGACTTATTATAAAAAGTATAAAATTTATATTTTTATTATTTTATGGATTATGATGCGGGTGGATTTAGTGTATTAATTTTGTAAATATTTTTCAATATTACAAAATACACACGGCAGATACAATAGTGAATATGCAAATTAATCCGAACAAAATAACTTCAGTTAAAATAGTTTTATCCTTTAAAAATCTTTAAACTCAAGTAATAAAAAGCTCTAATGGAGTCCTAAATATCGATCTCACAGAGAAGTTGGAAATGCCTATAAATAAATTCTATAGATTATAATGTAAAATATAATTTTAAAATAATAAAAAGTAAAGTGTGAAGTTTAAATATTAAGTAATAAGTGAATGCTAATTAAAATGCAGTTAAAAGACAAATTTAACTAAACTAAATGCTGAATTTTTAAAAGCAAACTTACGAAAACTAAAACTAAGATGTTGTGATGGAAAGTTCAAATTTAAGAAAGCATCATTCCCCTTTAAAATGAGTATATAGGCTTCTGTGGTTAGGCTGGGAGGATACTGGTTGTCACTCCCGTTACCCTCTTCCGAGTACATAAAGAACATTGACAAATCCAGAGTTTGGTCCCTGCTTCTGTGGTTAGGCTGGGAGGATACTGGTTGTCACTCCCTCCCCTGAGGGCTAACATTCTCGCATCAGTTTCCAATCAACTGAACCAAATAAGGGATTTTAATTTGTCACCTTAAAATCTCTAATTCTGCATCCAATAATGTATATTTCTCTATTTATTTACACTCAGACCCATGGAAAAAATACTCTCCCATGAAATCAAATGTGATTCTCTCTATGTTATAGAAATTATAGCTTTTTCGGAACATATGTTTCTCAACACAATTTCACATTTCAATTTACCAGATCGAAAAGTAAATGAAGATCGGAGTTCAAATCATCAAAAATTATTGACATTTAAAACCGTATAAAACAAATGAATTCTTCACAAAACCATATCTCAAAGTATGGAGAAGAATAAAGAATATTACTCATAATTTATAAGAAAGATACGACAAAACACGAATTTCATATATAAAAATAAGTTTACAAAACAAAAAAAAATAAAAGACACAACTTATCTCACAATCATTTCCAAGCAAATCCCTAAAAATTCTTTCCATATTTTTTTCTCTTTACAAACTCTCTCAATTCTTTCTTAGAAATGTAATGAAGAATAAATCTCACACCTTCCCTTTCCTCTTACGACCCATGAATAGAATCTCCAAGCTCTTGACTTTCTCTCTCTCACTAACTCTCCTTCTAACCTTCATGTCACAGACACTTCTCTCTCTCACTCCATTCAAGCCCTAGACTTCCCTCTCTTTTATCAAAGACTGCCTCCCTCCAAAAAGAATTCAAAATTCCTCTCAAAATTCTATCTAAAAGTCAACCCTTTTGAATTCAAAAGACATGTCCATTGATCCAAGAGACATATCCCTTCATAAAAGAACCGTCTAACGTGTCTAGATGCATTGAATTACTACAATGGGCGTTTAGAACAATTGTTCTTTTGAAAATTTGCATAAAATTCATCTCCAACCGCCTTAATCGGCAAAAAAGTCATCTCTGGCGCCTTTGGCGCCAAATCTAGCGCATCATGCTTCAGTTTGTTAAAGACCGCGTTGTTCTGGGTTTTGGAGCATTTTGCCAACTGAAGACTGCGTTCTTCTGAGTTTTGGCGCATCTGGTACCACTCTGGAGCATCATGTGTCAATCTAGCGCATCTTGGCCAGAATTCAAAAATTCGTTGTTTTGGCTCCAAATTTCATCATTTTTGTTATTTTTGGTCCAAATGCCTAAAATTGATGTACTTGCAATAAAAATATAAAAATATAAAAATATAAAAATATATTTCTTTAAAATGCAATATCTCCAGAAATAAGCATAAAATATATACTTAAAACTACATATTATTTTGGTGTATCACATTATATTTTCAAAATCTACTTTGCAATTACTTAAACCCCTACCTTAGACCATATGTAAGGCCTGACTTTTTAAAACTTAAGTTTAATAAAAGTTGCAGCTAGTGATAACTCTTAGAATCCTTGGATCCGTAGAATGTAATTGGGGACGACGACTCAATCAAAACATACGCCAGCCTTCTGTCTTAACCCTACACTCACTTAGATGTTGTAATAGGAGGACACCACTAAATGGTATGCTAAACTAGAGCTAGAATGCTAGGTACTCTTGTTGTCTATAGTCCTCTGCAGATTTGGTTGCCCAAACTAGACATCACTTTTATGTTGCCTCGTGTGTTTATTAGGTGTAAGGCATGCACACTAGTATATTAGGGGCAGTCTTTTTTTGTAAGGAGCCATA